CCCCCAAATGTGTGCCATCAAGAAAAAGAGGAGTCCACCTTTATGTGCAGTAATAAAAAACCTTTTGTGTATAACCTGTGTTGGGGGGATCATCTTATATACAAGATTATCTTCCTTTCAGATAAGTCTCATGATAGATGAGAGAGAGAGAGAGATACATAGATACATAAATACGTAGAGATATGTATGAGTTTGTTTTCTGATTTTATCCACCTTGAGCTTCTGAGAGCCAGTTTTGTGTAGTGGTTAAGTGTGTGGACTCTAATCTGGGAGGACCAGGTTTGATTACCCACTCCTCCACCTGCAGCTGCTGGATAATCTTGGGCAAGCCGTAGCTCTGATAAGAGCTGTTCTGGAAAGAGCTCTCTCAGCCCCACCTACCCCACAGGGTGTCTGTTCCTCATCAAAGGCTCCTAAGTAAGCTCAAAAATCATGGGATAAAAGGACAAGTCTTTTTATGGATCAAAAACTGGCTAATTAATAGAAAACAGAGAGTGAGTATAAATGGGCAGTTCTCTCAGTGGAGGGGGGTAAGCAGTGGGGTACCGCAGGGATCAGTACTTGGTCCACTGCCTTTTAACTTGTTCATTAAAGATTTGGAGTTGGGAGTAAGCAGTGAAGTGGCTAAATTTGCGGATGATACAAAGTTGTTCAGGGTGGTGAAAACCAGTGAGGATTGTGAGGCACTCCAAAGGGATCTGTCAAAGATGGGCAAGTGGGCGTCAACATGGCAAATGGGGTTCAATGTGGCCAAGTGCAAGGTGATGCACATTGGAGCCAAAAATCCTAAATATAAATACACATTGATGGGGTCTGAACTGGCAGAGACAGATCAAGAGAGAGATCTTGGAGTTGTAGTAGATAACTCACTGAAAATGTCGAGACAGTGTGTGACTGCAATAAAGAAGGCCAATGCTATGCTGGGGATTATTAGGAAGGGTATTGAAAACAGATCAGCCAATATAATAATGCCCCTATATAAATCAATGGTGAGACCTCATTTGGAATACTGTGTGCAGTTCTGGGCACCACACCTTAAAAAGGATATTATAGCTTTGGAAAAAGTGCAGAAAAGGGCAACTCGAATGATAAAAGGGTTGGAACACTTTCCCTATGAGGAAAGGTTAAAGCGCTTAGGGCTCTTTAGCTTGGAGAAAAGACGACTGAGGGGTGACATGATCGAGGTTTATAAGATTATGCATGGGAAAGAGCAGGTAGAGAAAGAGGTACTTTTCTCCCTTTCTCACAATACAAGAACTCGTGGGCACTCCATGAAACTGCAGAGCGGTCGGGTTAGAACGGATAAAAGGAAGTACTTCTTCACCCAAAGAGTGATTAACACATGGAATTCACTGCCACAGGAAGTGGTGGGTGCTACAAGCATGGACGGCTTCAAAAGGGAATTAGATAAGCATATGGATAGATAGGGGCTCTGGGGCAAGTAATGCTCTGTCTTCTTGGTGCTTGGGGGGGGGTCAACAGTGGGAGGGTTTCTAATGTCCTGGCCCCACTGGTGGACCTCCTGATGGCACCTGGTCTTTCTGGCCACTGTGTGACACAGAGTGTTGGACTGGATGGGCCTTTGGCCTGATCCAACATTGGCGTCTCTTATGTTCTTATGTTCTGTTGTGGGGAGGGGAAGGAAAAGGAGTTTGTAAGCTGCTCTGAGACTCCAAGTAAAGGATGGGGTATAAATCCAATTTCTTCTTCTTTTTATTTTAAAGTAAGTAAATGGGAGCTTACTCCCCCAGACAATGCTGTTTCTATTCGAACAAGAGATGTTTCAAGGTGTCAGACTTTGGCATCTGAATCCCCTGCGTCATACGTTAGCCTATGAGCATGTGCAGAGATGCCCTTTCCTCATCGCAACTGCATATCTGTCATCTTGCTCTGGAAGCCCCAGCTGGAACGGCAGCTAACAAGAAAGCTGAATGATTGATGGAGAGATCCACATGGCCTGTTCACATGAGAACGTTACAAACAACACATTACAGTTTCCCAAAGATTCCCCACTGTGATGCTCAGTTTCATATCAGCTGTGGGTTCCTGGCTAGAAACGGAATTCCCAAGCATGAGAGTCCCCAATTCAGATCCATGGCCCATGGGGAGAAGGGACTTCAGCATTTCCCCACCCACTACCTTTTCCCAGACATGGAACAGTTCCAGGGAAGTGCTACTTGACCTACAGAGGAA